TGAAATGTTCATGCCAGAGGATAACGCATAAGTCTGTTTATCCTGTCTTTATTATTTTTATAAATAACTAGGTGCAGCAAAGATCTCTAATATTCCTTCCTCCTCTTATTTTCTCCATAACAATCCTGTGAGATGAGTTAGGGTGAGTGACTAGCCCAAAGTCACCCAACTAGCTTTCATTCTTAGAGTGGGTCTAGAACTCACAGTCTCCTGGTTTCTAGTCTGCTGCCTTAATAGAATAGAATTCTTTATTGGCCAAGTGTGGTTGGACAATATTCTATCAGCATTTGCAGTACTTCAACTCCAAACATGATCTTCTTCTGGCCTCCTTTGGGTTGCAAGTATTACCAGAAAAAAAGATCTCCCCAAGACAGATATTTATCCAAACAAGAATGACCACAGTTCCAAATGTTATTGCTGTAACCTTGTTTCTAGTAAATAAGGTCTCTTTAGCTTCCTTATAGGTTTCCTGGATTCTCACCCCACTTTATTAAAGATATTTTCCACTTGTACTACATGATCATATTTTGAGATTTTAGGTTATAAGCACTAAATTAAGAGTTTATGTGCATTTAAAAAATGTTGCCTGAATGTTTTATCAGTCTAACACAGCAGTTCTCAACCTATGGGTCGCGACCCCATTTGGGGTCGATCGACCATTTCACAGGGGTCGCCAAGCAAGGCTGTCCGCCATTTTTTCCCCTTTTCTGGTGGGTGCCTTACTTCCCTTGAGCTGGACCAGCTGGTGGTCGGCCTGCTCCGTCTCTGCCGCTTGCCAGCTACCCCTCGGCCGGAGCAGGGGGCGGAACCATGCATGCGCAGCACTCCCGGGCAGGGAAAGTCCTCGACTTATGACCGATTGGGGGTCGCGGCATTAAAAAGGTTGAGAACCACTGGTCTAACATGAAATCCATATATTAAATCCTAAGTTATAGAAACAGTAAAGTTCTATGTTGGTCTATGACCATAATGAAGATTTGATTTGAATAAAACTTTGTATACTTTCCATTATTTCACCACAAAAGTAATTTTATATTAGCTCCTTAAAGCTAATCAGATTCAGTTCAAATTATAGCTTCACAATAGTACTATAAGCCTTCTAATCATTTCTTAACAGTCCTCCATTTCTAACATTCAGCACCATCTCTTCCCTATTCATAGTATTCTTTATAACAGTTATGCATGATTCAGTAGATATTTTTGAATTCTGCATACAAATGTCACAAACCCATTATTTTCATTTTATGACTTCGTGATTAATAGTTCACATCTTCCTCTTTTGATTTGTATGAATATTCTTGATTTGTATTAATATTATTACTGTGATTTTTTGGGATGTTAATTTTATCACCCTAGAGAGTACATCAATGTTTAGATGAGGATTGCAATACAGTAATATTTGCAAATGTGCCATTTTTACATCGTGCTTTGTTAGAAGGCAACTGGCCAGTGAGTTCCTCTGATTCCTCTGTCTTGCTGGTCAAGAATCCAACAAAGAGATGGTAGGTAAGAACAAATACATTCTCATCAGGCCCAATACATTTTAATAAAATAGTGAAAATTCCTCCATTCAAATGTAAATATATTGAAGATGAGAAAATTGCTTCTAAACACAACATACTTGAGTTATTGTCCAAAAATGTAACATAGAAATCCAAATAGAAATATTTCATAATATCTCTTCAAGTCTTCAGTTGTTCATTTTATTTATTTCTTTTATAGGTTTATAAATATTATCCTCTTTAAGTCTTATTTGTATAAGATGGATTTATTGTACGTGAAATGAAATATACTGGGAGAGAAATTCTCAGGAGCCATAAGATTTGTTTTGGTATTACAGTGTTTTAAATTAGTTCTGAATTGTATTGACAAAATTATTTTATTTATTGTATTTTTCTATTATCATATAAATCAGAAGTTACGTCACCCACATAAGATTTCTTGTTCTCTATTCTTTCTAGAAAATATTAAAAACGTTTATATTGAAGTCTCAGTTTTCTCTGGCTATAAAACTATGCAAGATATATAAAATAATGTAATTTATTTAGAAGTAACCCCCTCCCCTCATATAATCTATTGGCTTCCAATGGAAAAATGCATGAACAATCATATTTTGGTTCTTAAGATTCATTATCATTTGCTTGAAATTTCATTTGTAAAATAACAACCTGCCCAGCTCCTACCCCCATCCTAGCCGTAGCCTAAAGTCATAAGGTTTTGAAAATATTCATCTGGCTTAATGTACTTTCAGACTTGCAAGATTCAGTTAATATAACTCTACTATAAAGTAGAATTAGCTCATCTGGGTTTCCTCTCTGGTCTACTTGTAAAGCTATTATCAATCTTGCAAGACTGAAAGTACATTTCTACCGCTCCATCTCTTTTACAGCCCAAGAAGCTAGGGAGACTCTCTTATATGATCTACAGCAGACCGGGGCCTCTTGCCCCATCCACATTCCTCCTGAGAGCTATGTTGCTTTTTATCTGACCATTCTTCTTGACTGCATCTGTTTGTCTGTCTCCCAAAGTTATTTACACCTACTATTATAATCACACAAACTTTTGATTATACCATTTATTTATTTATTTATTTAAATGATTTGTTACCATCGTTCTTAAGCACAACCCTGGACAGCTTGTAAACAATAATACAGTAAAAAGCATGAAAACTAGCACAAAAACTCCCAATGCCTCTCCAAAGCAACACGTGCCCCAAATCCAGAAATAACTTTACTGAGTTGCAGTCTCCTACTATATCTCAGTGCTTGTGAGAAAAGTCAGGTCTTCAAAGCTCTTTGGAAAGGGAGGACCCTATTGGATCCCAGAGGGGAGGGAGTTCCAAAGAGCAGTCTGCTATAATGTTCAAAGGTATTAAAAGCCTCCGAGAGATTATTATTATTATTATTATTTATTGAATTTATATACCGCCCTATCTCCCTTACGGGACTCAGGGTGGTGAACAGGCGATAATAAAAACCACGATAAATATACGCAAGTTTCTGTTCTAAAATCAAATTAAATAACAGGCCTGCTCTAAAAATACCCCATACAAAACCCCCACTAAAACATAATCAAACTACGCCAGGCCGGCCACATGGAATAGATGGGCCTTCAGGGCTCGGCGAAAAAGGCGCAGGTCCGCAACTGTACTTAGGTCGGAGGGTAGGTCATTCCAGAGGGCAGGAGCTGCCACAGAGAAGGCTCTCCCCCTGGGGGTCGCCAGCCGGCATTGTCTGGCCGACGGCACCCTAAGGAGGCCCTCTCTGTGGGAGCGGACTGGTCGAAGGGAGGTGTTTGGTAGGAGGCGGTCTTGCAAATACCTAGGTCCATTGCCATGGAGTGCTTTAAAGGTTGTTACTAACACCTTGAAGCGCACCCGGAAGGCCACAGGCAGCCAGTGCAGCTCGCGCAGGAGAGGTGTTACATGGGATTATCTAGAGGCCCCCAGGATCCCCCGCGCGGCCGCATTCTGAACTAGCTGGAGCCTCCAGGTGCACTCAAGGGGAGCCCCATGTAGAGAGCGTTGCAATAGTCCAGGCGGGAAACGAGGGCTTGAGTGACCGTGCGTAGAGCGTCACGATCCAGAAAGGGGCGCAACTGGTAGTACTGGGAGGCTTGTATTACTGCTATCCAATTCATGCTATATAGGGCATATGTCAATGCTGTCTCCATGCAAGGATCCGGATAATCTGTTTCCTTTGGGGCCTTCTTGAGCCAAATCACTTTTTCCACACCCTTCCCCCAAAAGGGATACCTGAGATAGGTCAATAGATATCCAGTATGTATGAGCTGAGGAATGGTATCTTGAGGAGGATTCATACTACTGCCTTTTTCTACGGAATAATGCCTCTCTGAAAGACGCATTTACCACCAACCAGCTCCTCATCATGTTAGATAGCTTCAATTTAATATGCATATTACCGAGTTAGGTAATATAAAAATAATACTCAACAACCACCCACCCACAAGTCTGCCTAAATACCTAGTACATTCATGGCTTAGCAAGCCTCTGAATTACGTTTCCTAACCCCTAACTCAATGACTCTTACTAAATTCCTAAGGAATGAGTGTATAAAGATGTGAGACAAAAGCTTGCTTAAATGCACAAAAGAATCTTAGCATGTTGACTTCAAAAATAACTGAATGTTTCACCATGGAACAAACGGAGATACATGGGGCACTTGGAAAATGGTCTTAACTCAGTAGTGAGATTCTTCACTCCACAATGGTGGATTAAATAGATATGCTTCAAGACATTAATTGACCACATAGAATATAGTAAAAATTCCATTTTTGAAATGCAAGTTTATTCGAGTCTCTTAGTTCCTCGTTGATGGCAATAGTAATAATGCAATTTCAAAGATGACAATAAAATATTCAAATAAATAAAATAAAAATAGGGTGAATTCAGGGTTCATTTGCTTTCCCACTGGCAGTTCTCACATTGATGTTCTTTCCTTACAGAACATCCTAGCAATAATTGGGCTTTTCTTTAATGGACTCATAAACTCACTTAATTAGATCGTGTGCTTTTTAAGAAACCTCTCATTTAGTACATTCTGGAACTGACTCTAATCAGTGGATTAATTAAACAAGCTTAATTTATATTGCAACAAATACAACAGCTGGGAAATGAAGAAATAGTTAGCTCTTCCACACAGAGGTAAAGAAATCTTTTTAAAGTATGTAGCAGCTTTTAAGAAACATGGTCTTGGAGAATGCTATCTCAAAAAAAAATAGTCTTAAGTTTTAATCAGATAAAAACTGGAATATATACAGAAACCTGAGATGTAAAGTTAGTATTGGCCATTTTGGCATTCCAGAAATACTGACACTTTGAATGCATGTTGAAAAACAACCAGTTACACTTGGAAATTAAAATAAACCATTACTGATGGCCTTTGATACTGCAACCGAAATATGGGCTATTCCTTTGTGATTAGTGTCACTAAACTAGATTCAATAGATACACAGGAACAAGAACACAGAGACATTTAGTCTAGCTTTTATAGGAAGAATTTAATTATCTATACATGTAGCTAATTGTAAAGACTGTATTACAATTGTTAAAGCTGGAGGTTTTATATATTTATATATTTTACATTCATACCAATGAAAATACTGAAGTGCAAGTGTATAAGGAGCTTCTCTTGTTCTTTGCACCATGTGAATGGACATAAGGAATTACAACATTGCCAGCAGAAAATTTAGATAAAATACATAAACAAACGGAAAAAGTTAAGGTTATTAGTAAAGTTGCTATATTGTGCTTCAGGCATAGGGCTTTTCTTCCTATGTGCTGGCTGCACCAGATATTTAATTAAGAGCTTATAACTAATATTTAAATGACAAACATAGCTTAGGCTACAACACATCTATGTAAAATTTAACTGTAAGCTCCACTTAATGTTACTTGTATAAATTCCACAGTCTAGTTTAAAAAAAAATGTAAACATTGGAAATTAATTGCAGGAAGGTATTTCTATACATTCTTTTGTCAAAATAAGATACTTGCTTAAAGGGTCTGTTCCATAGTCATTAAATTACAGTGATGATAAAACTTCAACTTGAAAAGGCATGTTAATTCTCAAGAAATAGATAAATGCTATATTCTTTTATTTTTATATAAAAAGGCAAAAAAAAACCCAAAGAAATCTGAGACACAGAACAAAAAGGTGCTTATTATGTGTAGTTACAAATAAACGTGCAAAATATAAGGTAATGAGAGTAACTGTATTATACACTTATATCCTTTCTTGCACATGGAAGGAAATTAACTTCTTGTCCATGATGTATTTATACACACACACACACACTCACACAGACACTAAAAGAACACCCAACATATAACAATACAAGATACAAATACCTTAAGCTGAACTTTTAATTGAGCACATTTTAGTTTTCTTTAAACCAGACTAAATTCTGTTCTTTTAGTAGTACATAAAAAGGAAAAAGACAGACACCAGGTACACTGGACAAGTGAAAAACAAAACAAAACAAAAAATACAAGTCTCAGATTTATGGACATTTGGAACAATTTTAATAATACATGCAGCATTCCTTGATAGTGGGTCTTTTTGCAATAACAAAATTGCAATGACAAAAATGCTTTTTTAAAAGGGCTAAAATAGGCATTTTAAAATATTTATACCCTTGAACGCACCTATGCCAAGGTGAGAAATAGGTGGGTAACTATGAAAGCCACAAAAGGACCCACTATCCTGTGTTTTTGACTCTTTTTGTAATTTTGCTTCTATATCTTAGATATTAAGTTAAAAACATTGCGATTACATGCAACTAATGTAAAATGAGGTAAACTGCTCTGCAGTGTGTTCTTCTACTCAGAAGGCAGTAGATGATCATGCTGGAAGTCACATGATCAAGGCTGCATCTCCCATCATCCCTCTGGACAGTGATATGGGATAGTGGGTCTCTTTGAGGACTTTCAAGCCTGAGTGGGGGATGGACAACATATGATTCCTAGAAAAAGGAGGAAAACAACACATAAGCAAAACAAAACAATGAGCAAAATTCAAGCTAGGAAAATGAGCCAGGCATGTAAACAGCATGGTGCAAAATGATAAAGGTATCATGCTATAAGGGAAATGGAACTCAAAACCAACACAAATTTAGGCTTGCAATATAGAAGGTCTTCAAAGAGAGTTAGGCAAATATATAGCACAGCCAAGCTCCACATTCTGCAAAACACAGCAGAGTTATAGCAATGCTGCATGTTTCTTTTTAAATACTGTCTTAAGCAACTATTGAGAAAAGAATCACTCACATTGCTGGCTTGGATCCATATCAGTTGTCAATTTCACATAGTTGGATGGGAAGAGACCCACATGCCCATTCACTTCTCCTTTCCACCAATCAGGGTCTTCTTTATTAAGGACATTAATGATCTGGCCTTTATTGAATGCTAGTTCATCATCATTTTGTGCAATGTAGTCATACATACCAATCACTTGGCATACTGTAAAACAATAGACAATTAGTAAGATTGGAGATTTTCATAAAGGAAAAAAAATTATCCACAAGGGGCATGTCAATACCTGCATCACTCACAGGCCTAAATCTCATAATATAACTTGCACAGAAATCAGCAGTCTCAAGGTACATTCAATACTTCCCAAAGCTCTGGTATCGAACTCATGGTAAGCACAGACCAAGTATAAATAGCAATGGCTGAGTGGAATCTTAATTACATAAAACTTCTTAACTTTTCCTCACCGTTTCATTTTCACATTTTCAAAAACACTTATTTTTAAAAAATGGCAAAATGGACATGTATATGTATATATGTCTGTTCATATAAACACACAGGATTTTTATTTATTTATTTGATTTCTAATGCTGCTTATCTGACAAATAACTCTAAGTGCTTTGTAAGAGCATTAAAACAGTAACATCAAAAAAAGCAAAACACACAACAATAAAAACATCATGCTGGGGACAAAGACGCTAGATACACACTATTAAATCAGAACACACAACATCTTGGCCTAGTTCCTGAGGGGAGAACCAAGTCTTTGGGTTTCTAAAAGTCATCAGGATTGAGGACATCTGGAACTCAGGATATAGGGGATGCAGTTCCAAAGGGCAGGTGCAGAAACAGAGAAGGCAGTCCCCTGGGTCTTATGAGTTGACATTGCTTGATTGATGGGTCCTGGAACATTCCAATTCTGCCAGATCTTGGAAAGGCAGAAAAAAATGTGAGAAATACGGACCTGCAAAGGTCCTGTGCCACCAAAATGGTGAACTTTGGAGACAAAAACCTATTCAGCTCAGGGATGATACCCAATCCCATTCTGATCACTGGATCAGACATGAGGATGAACTATTAGTTTCTCTTTCTACTCAACTCCCTTCACTATTACACAGTCCTCAGTTTATGAGTACTCACTGTTCTCCAACTTTTACCTCTTTTAGAAGAAATTAAAAAGACAAAGCTACTATGCCTATGCTGAAGGGAATGAAAAGATAGTTTAAGAACTGAAATATGCTGGAGAAAACAAAAAAAGTGCAGCAGAGGAGATTATAACAATGTGAGCTAATATCTATAAGACAGGGAGTCTTAGCTTTTGGTATTAGCCATTTTCTTGAAAGTCAACTTATTTTTGCAGAAAACAGTTGGCTGGTAAATTTGCTGAGTGGAAGAATGGATAGAATTCCAGCTAGACAAGACAGAGGAAAAGTGGATTGGCTTAAAGTCCAACTTCAGAGGATCATTTATTCCACCTCTATTTATTCCATGTACTGAAAGTATTACTGGCAATATCATAGATGCTAACAGCTGATTATATTAAGAAGATATTTTTTCCAACTTCCATATTGTAAGTTGTTAATTTCCATGTAGCTAATTATAGGTATTTTGGATCAGAGTAGAAAATGATCTTCTGATGGGCAAATCTTAATATCTAAGGATAATTATAGTCTGGCAGGCAAAAAGTGGATCCTTCTAGGAAACCCTTGCTCTTTTAGCAATTATTGGGTGCTCAAATAAATGATACATTTTTCCATTCAGGTATGTGTAGTATCCTTAGTTTGTGTGCGTGTGTTTGTGTATAGATGGCTGGTAAACTCCATCTCTCCTTGTATCAGTTGTGTGTGCTACCAGACTCTCAACCAACCAAAGTCATTCATTTCTGAATGACTGACTGATTGACTGAATATAATTACTTCCCTTGACCGATAACTGTTTAGTCAATGTGCCATTATTTGAAAAAATTCCTTAAGTGGAATATTGCTGTAAAGCATAAAATGTTGGCTTCTGGTCACTGAAACCAGGAATGAGCTGGTTATTTTGATAAAGATGCAAAACTGCCAAAGGAGAGCTAGCTTGATGGCATGGGATTACTATATACAATGGCAGCAGATTCTGTTGAAAGAGTGTAATATACATTCTTATTAAAGAATGTCATAAAGTAGGTATAGCGGATAGATTTTATGAAAAGAATGTTCTGAAGAACTGGGAAAAAATGATTTGTCTATTAGATCTCTGTAGCCATTTGGAGATGTTGGAAGTTTTGCTTCTTGATATAATTTAGTACTTCACAATAAGAATCCTTTTAATTTCCATTTTAGCAAGTTTAGATTTGAACATGTTTTTTTATTTTTAAATTTTTTTTGTCTGAAATTGGTCACTTGCATTTGAAGTGAAGAAAACTGTACATTGGTTGGAGGACCTTATGACCTCTGGCTGCTTTCTGATATCTGCATGAATATTTAAACTGTATTCAATAAAATGTCAAATACTGTATACTTAAAAATTAAATCAGTATTATTTGACAAAAAAATTCAGTAATGATGGATAAGATTATATAGAAGATAACTTGGCTACTCCTTCTTATTTTATGTGCAAGTTACAGCCAGAAAGGAGCACTGAGAGCAATATTTTAAATTCAATAAAATAGTCACTCAAAAAGACAGTGGGTTTGTAAAAGACTAGCAAGTAACTAGTCAAATTCACTCAAACAATGTATCTGAAATGTATTTGTCTTTTTAAAAGAAAAATTAATGCAACAGGCAAAAGTATGAAAACAAAAGTATGAAAACTGGACAGCCATTTGTCTGAAGTGGTATAGGGTTTCCTGCCTGAGCAGGGGGTTGGACTAGATGACCTTCAAGGTCCCTTCCAACATCATCATCATCATCATCATCATCATCATCAATCATCATCATCATCATCATCATCATCATCATCATCATCATTATTATTATTATTATTATTATTATTATTATTATTATTATTATTATTATTATTATCCCTTGAATTAAAGGTTTCCTAAAAGAGGGAATTCTGTATATAATTAGATTCAACAATATTACTTACCTGAAGGTAATGCTGTTGATTTGGGGGGCTCAGTTGGTGTGGTTTTACTAGTACCGGGGCTTAAGAGTTTCACATAGTTAGCAGGAAACCATCCTATTTGCCGTTTTTTCCCACGAGCCTAATGAGAAAGGAATTATCAACTTATTTTCAGCAAATCAGGAATACATACATACTTACCTTAAGCAGTACTAAAACATGGTCTGGGTTACTTATGGGTCTAGTACAGACATGTCAAACACAAGGCCCGGGGGCCGGATGCGGCCCACAAAGTGGTTTCATGTGGCCTGTGAAGCCATCCTGGAAACAGTGAGGGAACGGCCCCCTCTGCCTTGGCCCTGGCCCAGGCCAGCCGGGAGCCAATGTAGAATTTTGTGGTGGCCATCTATGCTAAAACACATTCAGTCTTAGCTCCATAAGTGCCCCCCCCTGCATGGCCTGAGAGGAACAGTGAGGCTCCTCCAGTAGACCATGCCTTGGCACTTTCCCTGGTCCCACCCCCTTCTGCCAGAGACCCTCAGATCTATCCCACTTCTGCCCAGGCCCCCACAGGCACCCTTGACGCGAACGGTGTAGAGCTGGCCACACCCACTCCATCCACACCCACCCAGTAGGCCGCACCCACCCTGGCCACACCCGCCCGGCCCCGAGGCCAACCACAATGCTGATGCGGCCCTCAATGAAATTGAGTTTGACACCCCTGGTCTAGTAAATGAACTTTAAATACTAGTTCTACAATTTATATAGTTTTCATTTATATATATATATATATATACATACAAAGTTTTAAACCAAAACCAGTAACTTACTTGGAGTTCTCCTTCCCACCAACCCCCAGGATTCTTCTTTCTTATAAGTATTAGTTGACCAGGAGCAAGAGTAAGCTGTTCAGGGCCTGTTGCTGTGTATGAGGCAATGACTTGAGCTATTTCTGTTCATATATTAAAAAAAAAATATTTTCATTAATCTGAAAGTTATATCATGACTTCAATTAGTCACACATCTACTGTACTACCAGTTATGCCAAGAGACAGCTCGTTTTACATCATCAATATATATTAATTGTAATACATACACACACACACACCTTTTAGTACATAACATCAGGGGAAAACAGAACAACTGCATAAGAAAATACAAGCCATGCAGTCATGTTATCTCTCATGAGTTGCCCCAAAGACCAGTTCAGGCATTCATGGTCTGCACTCAGGCATGAGCATGTATATACAATATGCATATCTATTATAAATTCATTATAAATAATTACTTTCTTCTACATAAATACCAAATCAAAACAACCCATTGCCTTTTTGCTTATTGTTAACAGAATGACAATGATATTGACCTCTTTTTCCTAGGACAAAAGAGGAAGCTGCAAGGTGGTGGTCTCCTAGTGGTTCCAAAAGGAGAAAAAAAATCTGACTTCCCATTGTTTCCATTGTCAGTGATGGTAGAAATCTTAACTCCTTTTACTTTGTTTAGGCACAATGTAATAGATGCACCATATCCTTCTGGAGGCTGCACATAGTCTGCCGATTGCCTACAAATGGCTTATGGTATTAAATAATTCCAAACCTCATTTTTGTGACCCCTCAAGCCAATCCCAACTAAATTGCAAAAGAATGTAAGGGTCAGGGCATCTGCTGGACCTATGAATTAGCTTTATTGCAATATACCGTATTTTTCGGTGTATAAGACGACTTTCTAAACCCTGAAAATCTTCTCAAAAGTTGGGGGTCGTCTTATACGCCCAGTCGTCTTATACGCCGGAAAATACGGGTATTCTATTTTATTCCTTTAAGCTGAGGATGCGATGGGGGCAGCGGCTCCCGTTCTCCCCCTCCCCATTCGGCTGAGTACGCGGACGCCCATTCGGCTGAGTACACGGCAGCCAGGTTGGGGGCGGCGTGGACTCCCGACGATGCTGCAGTGGCCGCTGCCGTGCCACTGCTGCCGCCGCCACTGGAGCTGCTGCCTCCCGTCCTGCTCCCCCTCCCCGCCCGTTCGGCGCCGTCTGCCTTTCATTCTCTCTCTCTCCTAACCTGGAGGGAGAGGGAGAGAGAGAAAGAGAGAAAGAGAGAAAGAGGAAAGAAAGAGAAGAGAAAGAGGAAAGAGAAAGAGAAGAGAGAGAGAGAGAGGAAAGAGAAAGAGGAAAGAAAGAGAAGAGAAAGAGAGAAAGAGAGAGGAAAGGGAAAGAGAAAGAGAGGAAAGAGAGAGAAAGTTAGAGGAAAGAGAGAGAAAGTTAGAGGAAAGAGAAAGGAAGAGAAAGAGAAAGAGACAGAGAAAGAGAGGAAAGAGAGAGAAAGTTAGAGGAAAGAGAGAAAAAGAAAGAGAAGAGAGGAAAGAGGAAAGAGAAAGAGAGGAAAGAGAGAGAAAGAGAAGAGAGAGGAAAGAGAAAGAGATAAAGAGGGAGAGGAAAGAGAGAGGGGGAGAGGAAAGAGAAAAGGAGAGGAAAGGGAGAGAAGGAGAGGAAAGAGAGAGAAAGAGAGGAAAGAGAGAAAGAAAGAGAGGGGGAGAGGAAAGAGAAAATGAGGAAAGAGAAAAAAGATTGAGAAAAGAGAGAGGAAAGAGAGAAAGGAAAGAGAAGAGAAAGAGAGGAAAGAGAAAGAAAGAGAGGAAAGAGAAAGAGGAAAGAGAAAGAGGAAAGAGAGAGAGACAGAGAAAGAGAGAGGAAAGAGAGAGAGAGAAAGTTAGAGGAAAGAGAGAAAGAGGAAAGAGAAAGAGAGGAAAGAAAGGAAAGAGAGAGGAAAGAGAGACAGAGAGAGAGACCCTTTTGACATCTAAAATAAAGATAACACTGCATATATCCTTTTTTACCTTTATTTTATATATACACAAACACAAACACACACACACACACATATCATAAAGGTAAAAAAAGGATATATGCAGTCTTATCTTCATTTTAGATATCAAAAGGGTTTTGCGGCTCCCAGTGTTTTGTTTTCGGTGGGAAACGTGTCCAAGTGGCTATTTGAGTGTTTTGGGTTGCCTACCCTTGATATAGCCCAAACTCTATATTTTAACTGGAAAAGTTGGGGGTCGTCTTATACCCCCAGTCGTCTTATACGCCGGAAAATACGGTATGTATTGAGGATTATTTTCTTGCTGTTTTGTTATCTTATTTTTGTTTTGGTTTCCAATTGTTTACTGATTTTGTATTTTTTCTTATTTTTTGCTGGATTTTTATATTGTTGTTAGCGTCCCACAATCACTTGGTGAGATGGGTGGCCATATAAATTTAATGAATGAAAAAATAAATTAGGGCAATTTCCTAATTCCCTCCCTACTTAAAACTGTGCTAATTTTACCAAAGAAGGTAACATTGTAAATATTATAAGATTTTTGCTAATACTAATAAATAAATTGCTATTATCAATAAAGTACAATATCTAATTGTATGGAGTGGGAGAGAATACTGGACTAAAGCTTGAGAATCAATCAGAAAATTGCAAAAAGATAAGATAATATTGAATTCTAAACATCCACCTCTCCCCCCAAAATTAATACATTGCAACTTCACATTATTATATTTTATTTTGCAAAGCTCTGGAGTGGGGATTACAAGGTAATACCCCCTTTCTTTGTAGTCTGACAGAACATAGCAGTTAACAAAATTATGTATTACTAATAGTGAAATTTAATCCCACTTTTCCTGGTACAGAAATTTGACAGAAAAACTGAGGGACAGAGACAAAATAAAACTTTTTTTCTGATTTAATTTTTATTTTTTTTAATTCAAAATTTGGATTATGACATATTTTCTAATATTTTATTTTTTTAAATGATACATAAAATAGTTAAAATACAAAATAAATTGGTATGTTTGGAAATTCACCAAAACAGGTAATAAGTTAATTTCAAAAGCTCGTCCCTATTTTATTTAAAAATCTTCAAAAGAAATAAAAATTGATTTTAGATTCAGAAAAAGAGACTCATAAAATGGTTCATTCTATCAAAAAAATTGTATTCTGAGACTTATTTCCATTTTATTTTTTCAAATACAGAATAAAAATAGCTTATATCCTTTAAAACATCTTGATTCATATAATAATTTGAAAATAGAAGAATAAGAAATATTTTACAAATGCTATATCATTTTCCTCAGAGTACAGTTTATAGCTTACCAGGTTTCTTGCTTAAGCTTCCTGCTTTTCCAGCATTTCCAGGAACCTTTAAATAATAAGCATAATTTTAAATTCAACAGAAGAATTTTTACAAAAAGAAAGTTAAATTTAAAAGGGCTATGCAATTAATCCCTCTGTTTTTTTCTATCTGCACAGCAATCTACTTTTAGTAACAAAAAACTTCAAAAGCCATCTGTATTATACTTGCAAAAATATTCTAGCTATATAACAAAACTAATCTGTATCATAAGATTTTTAAAAAGATAAAATCATCACCAGTTCACTTGTACTCAACAGTAAGACAATTCTGATATTCTATATGGAGATCCACCTCCTGAAAAAAAAGACGATAGATTTGGAAAACACCCAACCGACTTAACGGACGGAAAGATAGACCGAAACTTCTCTCATTCATCTTGTCTCGGTACGACTTTTGTATTTTTGTCTAACCTCTCAAACTACTCTTCGGTCCAAAAAAAAAGATATATGTAGTCCCCACAGGTTGGAACCGTTGAATAAGACTTGTGGACCTCAACTCCCAGAATTCCCTAGCCATTCATGCAAACTTGTGGAGTCGAAATCTGCAAGTATTAAAGTTGCCAAGGTTGGACACCCCTGATACAGAGCCAAGGCTGCCTTTCCCTTGGGTAGGACTATCAGAACATTCTGCTCTCACCTTGTACTGTATATCACTTAGAGCTTTCAATGGGACAAAATGCTGCAGCCATGTTTGTTTCCAGAATACCCTGTAGAAATCATGTTAACTGCTTCTTAAATTTTGTACTAGCTGCCAATTTCTTTCCCAAAGTATTACATACTATTTTTAAAGCCCTAATGTGCTTGGGAGCAGGATATCTGAGAGTGCCTCCTCCTGCAAGATAGTCAATGTACACAAATATCATCCAAGGAATCATGTCTCGAGTGGCAACTAGCCTTTCTAGCTGTCATTCAGAATTAAATACAGTATTGTTCATGGTAGCTCTGCACTTGTGGAACCCACTTGGTAATATAATATGAGTTTTGCCATTCAAACTGGCCTTTAGACAGTTTTGAAAACATATCGCTTTCAATTGGCCTACATTTAATTATTCACTGAAAAATATTTACCTCACTGGTCAAATTAATAATTATATTTTACAATTTCTATACACATTGTATTTTTAAATATAATTAGATTTTGGTATTTATATATGCTATTATATATGATGTGTGATTTAAGAACCAAATCAATGAATAAATATTATATACATATAACCTCAAAATAAAAAATAAACTGGGCATGATGATCAAGATCTAAACACAATAAGTTTGTATAAGTTGTACAATGTTGGCAATACAAGTATTGGCAATAAAGAATTGTCAATACTGTTACTTAAGAAAAAAAGATGACAAGATCACTTAATCAGTGTTTTATATTAATTTCAGTTGTTTAGTTCAAAGAAAAAGTAACACTGTCCATGCATGTTTACCAAAAAATAAAGCCTGGTCAATTTAAAGGGGTTTAGACCACAATTGTAGACTTTAATACCATTACAAAATTTATTTCCATTTTATTCTAAGAACAGAATATATATATATCCTCCAGAATAGTAATTCATCGAATCTAAAATCCTCTTCAAAATCTGAATATTGCCAATGAATAAAAAACTACTTTTGATATAGTTTAGTTCAACATATTTTATGTTTCTTCCTTTCCCCATCTTTATTTGATAACTTGTAATCATCAATCATATTTGAAATATTCAGTCACATAGATAAATTATTTCTAATAAGTCTACATGTATGAATTTTACCTCAGAGTCTTTGAGTCTAACGTAGTTAGATGGAAACACTCCAGACTTTTCACCCAGCATTCCTGTCCACCAATCACCATCTTTCTTGGTCACAAGAATTAAATCTCCCTGCTGAAATGTTAAATCTCCTTGTTCAGAGCTCTCATATGTGTACATAGCAATATATTCTAAAAAGCAAAATGATTTGGAAGTGAGAAAATGCTTATAATTAAATAATTTGCAGGCTACTTTCATGCAATGTGACGTACACTAATTTCTGATCTCCAATTTTCCCTTAAATAGGATTTTTAGTTATCACAAATTTATTTCAGGAGGATTCTAGAATAAAAATAAAAGCAGTTTTAGAGGGATTATCTCCCCTGGAAAAGCATTTTCTATTACCATGTAAATATAAAAAAACCAGTCATTCTGTTTCTCTGTTTAAGTAAGGAAATACTTCTGAAACAATGATCCAATGGGGCATAGGTTGTCTAGTTTATTTATGAAATTTATATGCTACCATCTTACTGTCCAAAGCAACAAAGTTTACACTTAATTGCATGTTTTCTATTTAAATAGTTCTATTCTAACAAATGGATATTTACACTAATATCCATTTTCCCTATCATACAATAATTTCTGACAAATAAAGCTCAATGGACTACAAAACATTTTTAACTAAAGATATAAGTGCTTTAACGTTTAAAACACAAAAATCTAGACATCTTTCAAATGGGATGATGAAATGATGATGAGAAAAAAAATTAATAAATAGAATGTTAAATCCTGCATTGTGGAGTAAACATGAAAAACACAGGTGTAGGATGATGGAAGCTTAGCTTGGTAGCAATGCATGTGAAAAGGATTTGGGTATTCTAGAACACAAGTTCAACAAGGGCCAGAATTGCGAAACAGCTGCTAAAAAGCAACTATTATTCTGGGCTGTATTAACAAGGACATAAAGTCTGCATCATAGGACTTATTTTGTATGATCAGGTCCACTTGGATACTGTGTCATGTTTACACTTATAAAAAAGACATCAACAAACTGGAGCAAGTTCAAAGCAGGGCTACCAAAATGGAGGAAGGGAGACACAAATTATCTGAAGAAACTGGATATGTTTAGATTGTGAAAGAGGAGGAGAGAGATGATTGTAATGTTTAAATTTCTAAAGAAGAATAGATTTGTTCTCTGTTGCTCTGGAAAGCAGAATCAGAGCCAATGGTTGAAATTATCAAAAAGTAGCTTCAGGGTAGGTATTAAGAGGAATTTCCTAATAATAAAGTTGCCAATTAATGGAACAAATAGTGTCATAAAATGGCAAGTTCCCCTACATTGGAGGTCTTCAACAGTCCAAAATGCTTTAGCCCACCTAGGAGTGAGTTCGATTAAAAGACTTAACTAGGGTTTTTATTTAAATTTATACCATCGTTGGTACTTTCTTGAATCTGTTATCCTTTATGTTTTTTTTATCGTATACTGTTTCGTCATAAAGGGTTTTTCACACGAGAGTCTACACGATCTTAAAAGTGGGTTTTACGATAACGATTTGTTATCTCATAGAGATGTTCATTGTTAGGATATAGTAACACTTCTCTTGGTGGTAAAGGGAAATCTGGATAGAGCATGGCTGTTTTGTAATCTACTAAAACATTTACTGTGCACAGAATTTAATGCACAGAATTTAATTTAATAGTAAATTTAAGGGAACACATATTTCAAATTTGCTCTCAGTTGCTATTTATAATTTATTATATAACAATCCAGTATATTTCCAGTTAAAAGTCTAACCTTCTCCTGAAAATGTAGATTTTGAAACTGGTGATGTCCTCTTTAAGTTAGCAGGACTCTCTGAAGATCCAGAATCCATGCTAAGAAAGAACAAAGAAGGATCAATGTTTTTTGCAGCTTATTCAGTAAGGGCAACTTAAAAAGAATATACAACATATTGATGTACATCTATTACGTATGAATATATTGTTATTTCTAGATTATGGACAAGTTACTTTTTCTCTTTAAACAATTTTTTATACACATGTTCATATACATAATCTTAGCTGTTTAAAATAATCCTTCTATTATTATTTTATGTAGCAAAATAAAATTACCTTGTTGATTTCCTTATTGGACCTGATATAAGCTTCACATAGGATTTAGGAAACCATCCTTTTTGTCCTTGAACCTCTCCAAACCACCACATATCTTGCTGTTCTAACACAGTGATGATATCATTCTTGTTAAAATTTAAATGGTTGTCCTTCTTGGCTCGCCAAGGATATAATGCTTGTGCCTGAAGTCCTTCTACTTTTTCACCCTAGTTAGATATTGAAGTTAGGTTGAGTTTATTTGATATACTATAATAATCAATAAAATATAAAATGGGAATGAGGAGGCACAACATTCCTAGATTATTGTGAAGTTATCATGGTACTGTGAAATTTCATGTATTTGTTTAGCATTACTGTACATTCTTTATTTTGGACAGTATGGACTCAGGAATTCCTAAATCTCCGTTTTCCTGCCTCTTCATGTAAAGTGATACTATCAGTTATATTATTTATCTAATCCATGAATTGTTTATTTCATAAAGCAGGAGCATAAGTACAATACAAAGTACCCAATAAAATTTATGCCCGTATGGTATTTAGCTTGCTCACAAATATCAACTCACCTGACCCAAAACAGGAGAAGGAGAGGATCCAGTAACAGTTGCAGGAGTAAAGGCAGATCTTTGCCTTAACTGTCCTGTGCTTGGAACTGTAAGGGAAGGCTGAACTGCCCAAGCATCCCAGTTATCTGTTTCTTGCTTATCACTAGTAGTTGTTGGCCAACTGAATAGAGAGAAATGATGGATATAATCATTACCATAGTTAAGACGCATGTTTTCTCTCTAATCATGATATAACATATTTTCCAGAATAATACTGGATTGCTGATGATTCCTGCATCTCTTTCGATATTACTGCTACTGCATGATCTTGTCAAGACATAAAATGTTCAGAACAGATATTCACCATGAGGCCTTGGAGGCCCTGGAGGCCTTATGCCACCTTGGATTGTACAAAAGAGTGAAAGGGAAAGGAACAATAGGTGCTTGGAATTTCTGAAGGCAATTATGAGCATGGATTTCTTTACATGGCTTTAAATTCAGTGAATTTTAAAAAATCTTTAAAATACTTTTCTTTTCGGAATATTTTCTAAAGTTTGCAATCTAACAATAGAAATTTTTATCTATTTTCTAAGAGCAGAGAGTAAAAAGAGTTTAGAAAAAATAATTTTTGAACTCAATTTTACTGTGCTGACCCATTTTGAAGCCACTAATATACCAGAAATTAAGGGCAGATGTGCTTCAGTATATAATTTAAAACCTCTTGTAAAATTAATAGTGAAAGTGGTATAATTTATTTCAGTCATTCACTTATACAATTACCAAAAGGAAGAAAAATTGAAATTCCAATGAAATCATACGTTGAACTGAAGTCTGCCCAGTTGTTGCTAGTAGGGCTTGAATCTGTAGGAACAGGTGGTGCCATAGGTGTTGAAGGGGTTTCACGTAATGAAATTTTAGGTACAGATGTCACATCAGTTAACTGCTTTATGGAACTTGGAATTTCATTTTCAGACATCTTTTCTGCATAGTTTGCAGGAAACCATCCTGTTTTTCCTTTCAGTTCACCTCCAAGCCATCCCGGTTCTCCAGTTTGGCTTTCATCCACCTGTTCAAATGTAAATAAGTTAATTCAAAGCATAAAACTAAAATGATTTCCACAAATAATATTTTCACCAAATTAAGTATATGTAATAATTTTAGAGCAATAGTATTATAATTAATGAAATGTAAGTAAATCTGTAGTGACTGAAACAAAAAGCTTTGACAAAGCTTATTGACAGGTAATAGTGAAAACAGATGGTCTCCAAGAAACCCACCCGAGAGCAATTCCAGTTATATCAATTTAGGACAATATACTCTAAATATTTCTCTATTTTTCTAAGTATAAGAGACACAACATATATAACTGAAGGCAAATAACAGTAAAATATAAACAATAAATTTATATTAAATCTGCATTGATATTTACAGCCTAATTATTTTCCTACTTATGCAACTATGCTTCAATAACTATGGGTATTTATTTTATATATTAACATACATTGTGATGATCTGAAGGAAACAATATCAGGTAATAGTGTATATTTCATTATTTATTTATATACTGTATTAAAATTTTATCACAAAATATGTTTATAATACTGAGATAAAAAAGCAAAATTATACAACTAATTGCATGTGTCTGACTCCTTGTTAGAAAAAACATTTGAACAACATTTTAAATTTTTAAAAAGGTGTAAAGAGACGCATTCTAGAGGTATGCGTGTAAATGAATGAGCTGAGAGGGATTGTTCAATGTTATATAGGTAGTCCTCATTGAGCAACTACTTTTTGTGACTGTTCACAGTTATGACAATAATGGAAAAGTTTGCAACCAATTTTTGCATTTACAATCTTCATGGGTCTGTAAAGCCATGGCTATCAAACATTAAAAATACCTATCAGGCTATCCCATTTCCTTTACTTGGGACGATCTGAAGCTATATGGAAAAACACCATCTGAAATACAATCCTTGCTTAATACAGTCCATATATACAGATAAGATATTGCAATGGAATTTGGACTGTGCCACCCTCTTTATCAAATGGGGAAAAATAGTAAAAACTGAAGGAATCAAGATGCCCTGTAGAAATAACATCAAGAGTCTGGATGAAGACGATCATTACAAATACCTGGGCATACTTCAAGCTGACATCAAGCATACTGAAGTCAAGAAAAAGAAGTGAATACATCAAGAGAATGAAGAATTTCTGAAGTCCAAACTCAGTGGAGGAAATACTGTTAAGGCAATTGACACCTGATTCCAGTTATTAGATACACAGTTGGAATAGCAGACTGGACTCGTGTAGAACTAAAAGCCCTGGATAGGAAGATCAGAAAAAGAATGACAATGAATCATGCCCTTCATCCTTGCAGTGATGTTGACATAATCTGCTTGTCTTGAAGAATAAGTGGGCATGAAATGTTGCAAGTGCATCAGACAGTTGAGAAAGAAAAAAGGGCACTAGAATATCCGAAGGACAATGAAGAAAATGCACTGAAACTAATATACCAGGAAGGCCTACTGAGTATTGGAGAGACCAAACTGGCCTACAAGAAAAACCAAATGAAGAACAGAAAAGAGATATGGGAAGACAAAGTATCACATGGCCAGTACATTAAAAAAAATAGCAGGCAAAGCAGATAAAAACAAGACCTGTAGTGTCTAAGAGCAGGAAAGTTTAAGAGACAGTGGAGCTAATTAAGGCTGAATAAGATGAAGCTTTAAGAACAAATATATACAAAGCAGAATTGAGAAGACAGCAAAAGAAGGCAAGTGATACCTCTGCAAAGAAGCTGAAGAAGCAGTGGATCACCTGGTTAGCTGCTGAAAGAAGACTGCACAGACTACTATGGCAATGGTATGACAAAGTAACAAAAATGGTGGATTGGAAAATCTGCAAGAAATACAATTTACCTGCAAACATATGAATAAAAGAGAAAGTAGTAGAAGATGAAGAAGCTAAACTGCACTGGGATTTTAGAATTCAAACTGGCATACACCTGCCACATAACACCCCAGACTTAACAATTATTGATAAGAACAACAAAAAAGTCTGGATAGTGCATGTGGCAGTATTTGGAGACAGAAGAATAGAAGAGAAAGAACTGGAAAAGATAACAAAATACAAAGACTTGCAAACAGATATAGAACAACTGTGCAAAAGAAAGCAAGGGTAATACCAATAGTAAGAGGCACCTTGGGTGCAATCCCAAAATAACTGGGGCACCATTGGTATTGACAAAATTACCACCAGTCAATTGCAAAATACAGCTTTACCTAGAATAGCTTATATCCAGTAACAATACGTTTAATAGCATCAAACATCAACACCTGCCTATCCTAGATTCTTCAGAAGGATTTGATAAATGAAAAAAATGCAAATCAATAATAACAACAACAATAATAATAACAACAACCTCTCAGAATGTTGGGGAAATGCATGGAGCGTTCAGTTTTAGCATCCCTAATTTATTTTTTTTTTAAAAACCTATTCATGTAGAAATCCTATGTACTAGTACTTACTATCATATAAACACACAGATTTACTGTCTTGAATGTATTGTATGTGAAAAAATGTTACTAAACTGAACATGAAAGAAAACTACATACAAGCATACCTCATGCTATTCTTTCAGTTGAAAAATTAACTTTAAAAAACTATAAACACAAAGTTTTAATAGCACAAGTTACTAAACTTTACACAAGTTTTAGTAAACTTCATGTAATCATAAAATTAAGATCTTTCAGCATACCTAAATATCAAATTAAAGTTCCTTTAAACTTTGACAGAGAGAAAAAATCATTCTCTAGTACTCCAAAATAAGTATATTTACATTATATACATCAAATAATTAAAATCCTGTCTATGAAAAAAGCTTACATTCATTCCAAACAAGGACTTTCCAGTGATATTTCCCTCCTTTTATTCCTGTTTATACAGGAACTGTAAAAACTTTCTAGGCTTCAGGAAGGGTTAAAGAGTTTTTCTATAGTTACATCTATGGAAAAAATTAAAATGCAAGTTTAAAAAATATTTAAAAGGCCAACTTTTCTAAGAACTCCTTAGTTTAAGGAATACCAGCCAGCAACTCTTTAAAATAAGTACATTTTTTTTCCAGTTGCAGACAGTCATGGCCCAATAACCTCCAAAAGGTTATTAAACCGCCTTTAAATCCAAAAGACTGCACAGCCTTATTCATCATCATATTTGCCTTCTTATAGACTTATAATCTCCATAACATCCCCAGACATTATTGCAGAGCCCCATTATTTTCACAACCTATTTCCTCTATTAAGATGTTAAGATTAAGATTTGTGATCTTGAGGTAATACTGCATTCTTCTCTTACCATGATGATGTCTCCTGGCTGGATAGTGATTTCATCATGGCTTCGGGATTCAAAAGGATACAGAGCTCGATAATACACTATTTTTACATCTTCCTGACCAGAAATAGTTAGTGGAGCCTTTTCTAGATCCACAAAAACAGACATGTTGTTTTTGAATTATATCTCAAGAGACAAATTTAATTTGCATACATCGACATCATTTGTATTCACATTCTCAATGTAATCTTAATTTTTGCAGTAGCAGAAACAGAATTCAAACATTTATTTAAACGCAATTTAGGAAACTGCAGGTTGCAAAATATATTCACAATTATTTTATATACATTCTAAATTAAGTGTCCCCCCCCCCTTTCTGTTACTTTTATTTTATTTGACCACTATACTGTATGTAGGTTTGTTAACTATATTTTTGGGTGGTGTTTTCATTATTTGTATTTACTATTTTAATAAAAATAAAAAATAAATGAATAAAAACTAATCACAACAACATTATAAAATTTCAGATGCTATTACATGAAAAAACGACGTGCTTGTACCAAGTAAGGGTGTTCACTGAAATGTCTAATTAAGAGGTCTATTAATCAATAAATTGAATAATGTGGCATTTACATCATTTGCCCGATGATGTTGAATTTTCATTGCATATAATGGTATGTACACGAGCATGAAAGTGTGACATCAAATTATATTTAAAAATAATCAAACCAACTTCATCTAAATAAAAAATTGGGGGAAGGGAAAAGAGGAAGCAAAAAATGATTTTTTAATTTTATTTTGGCTGTAAGTCCTTTTGAGTGTGCTGTTCTTATTTGAGTTGGTTAAATCCAAGTTGGTTAAAAGACTGTTTTAGCACTGAACTATATTTTGTTTTTAGGATAACTATTTTTCATTGAACCCTCCATCTCTCCAAAAGAAGTTTCCTTTATAGGACGACAAGCATGCATACAAATAGTTTAAGATTATGGGGGAAAAGCAGGATATCAATAGAAGTTTTAAATCATATTTCTGAAATAGTAATTTGAATGTATTTGAATATAGTTCTAGCTTTAATTTAGAGACTTATAAACACTGAGCTTCTACTGTGCATTAGAAAAAAACAAAAGATAAATTGTAGCCTGCTTCTAGTTTCATCTGCTTCTAGCTTGCTTCCAGTTTAATCTGCTTTGTTCATAGTAGTAATTTGTTTAAAACAAAATATTTATTATTAATTGCCTCTATATTGCTTCCAAAATGCATCTCCAAGTGATTTACAGTAAAATTATAAAATGCAGTCATAAAATATATTCAATTAGTGGTCAGAAAATGAGGAAAACAGGGAAAACTATCCAATCTTCAGTCAGCAGAATCTACCCCAGTACATCAAGAGAAGAACATAAGATTTTATGAGCATTTAATCTGAGTATTCCATTATTTTGTACCTGCAGTTGACCAGGGAGCTTGGATAGTTGGTTTTGTTGAATCTTTATGGTGATGAAAAAATTTATTCATTTTTTCTTGCACTTCCTGTTTGTTCTTCTCATCATTTTCTTTCTTTTTGTTTAATTCTTCCCATTTTTGTTTTTCTTCCTCTTGATTTTTTCTTGACCGTGAATGTTCTTCTTCCTGTTGTATTCTGTCAAGCCACTGTCTTTCTCTATCTTGGGTTTTTCTAATTAGTGCAAACATATAAATGGTATTTAGAAATATAGAAATATACTAGACAACCTATGTAATTGCAGAGATATTTCCTTGCCAGATGCCTCAATGCTTTCAACAATGGCAGAACTTCTAATATATTGTCTTACCTGGAAAAGTTCTTAAAAAATCAGGGAGATATTCAGAGATGTTGGTGGGAGTGATCTTGGTGGTTCTTTGGCTGGGCTGTTTACTGTTAGTTTGTTTGGTAGTTCTCTGATTGGGGTATTGTTTACTTTTTGACTGTTGGTCCTAGCAATACTGACAGGGCAAGCCACTAGAATATAAATTGAGAGCAAACCCCATTCCTTACTAGCACTGAAGATATTACCTAGTTTGGATAATGAAATGTCTACAATAAAACAACCAAACTCAGAAAGCACCAAGGACACCCCCCCCCACTCACACAGACAGAAGGAGAGGGAGTGTGGGGGGGGAGGAGAGAGGTAGGGAGAGGGGGAAGGAGGGACGGAGTGTGGGACGGAGGGACGGAGGAGGGAGTGTGTTACTGTTAGCTTGAACCTAATACAGCAAACAGATAATCAGCTATCTAATGTTTAGGTTATTATTTCAAGTAAAGTAAAATTTATCCTAATTGAATATAATTATGCATGCACACATATTGGTGTACAACATTAAGAAAATATTAATAAATAAAAATTGAGCTGTGTGATAGTTGGACCCCTAGTGAGCAACATGCTTTGGATCAATTGTAGGTGCACCTATTATCCAAGGAACCTATCATTTGGTTCCTTGGATAATCCATACTTTAGCCAGGAAAATACAAATTTAAATTAAGGAAGCACTGCTAGTTTGTTAAATATTAAATGTTTCCATCAATACTTTTTTGGCAGATATTAAAATATGACACAATTTATTTGAAAGAAATCAAAGAATTATGCAGCTCTGTCAAAAAAATAAGCTTCTGCCAAATATATGGACAATTAGTCCTTCCAGAATACAAATAACTGACTGTTCAAGATTTTGATCAACTCCTTTCATGAAGCAATATGGTTTCCAAATTCGAGCTTACCTCTGGTTTTCTTTCTGTTTTTCCAGCTCTGTTTTCCTCTCCTGCTCCTTCTGTTTTAGTCTGTCAGTTTCTATATTCTTTTGCTTCTGTAGCTGCTGCTTGTTATGTATTTCCCTCAGGTCCTACAATAATGAAATGGTGGGTTACTATATAATGCACAGGACAGTTCCTTGTTTCTCAGCATGAAGAACCAAAGCTCTTCCAGAATAACCAAATAAACTAATTTTAAATTTTATATAATCACCTTACTTCAAACTCACTGTAGTATGATTTATATCTGGTATTATATTTGTTGCAGTTATTCAACTGCTTTAAATTTGATCTTGACTGTCAAAACTAAAAGTTTACTGCTTTTATTGGACAACCTGAAATCACAAGAATTGTTTATAAAAAGTCTACATGACTTATCACCTTAAATTCTAGTTTATGAATAAAAGAGAATATATGTAGCAAACTACCAAGCTCAGAACGCACCAAGGATTCTACAATTCAAATTCAACTTGTTTGCTTTTGTTTCTGAATCTTGTACATCCTTAACAGAATGTGTAGGTTTTCAAATCTCTCAAAAATTCCATTGGCTTCTATGCAAAATGCTGTTCATTCCCTACATCTTGTCTTTACTGGTCACTTGAGATAATAATTTTCAAACATTAATTCTCTTACCCTTGAGATGGAAAGGCAGCTCTGAATCTGACGTGCTATCAGTAACCATCAGAATAGTTTTTATAATCTCAAAAACCTAAGTCTGATGTTCTAGAACCATTACTAATTTATGTTCACACAAGACAGGGTATGTCATGTCTCAACAGTATTGTACTTAAAATGATAGTCACAATTCTAGTTTTACCATCTTAACAATGCCTAACAAACATGAATTCCTATAATATTAAAATCTGTCAAAATAAGTTAACAGAATTTGGGTATAAAGTTACAGCAATATTCTAATAACAACTACAGTAATAAAACAGTTTCTCCTTATCTAATCTTCATGATTTTTTTTCTGCCTACTCTGTTCACTGTTTTTCTAGAAAGGTAAACTCATTGTAAAATTTTCCCCATAGCAAACCTATTCAGACCCCTTGATAAATGTTCTTATTATAAGATTAACATTAATATACTGAACATGTCAATTGGAAACACAAATTTCAAAATCCGTAAAATTAAAATAAGCAGAAGTACACATTAAACAGCACTGAAGACAACTTAAGGAAAACAAAATCACTGTAGTAGTATTTCTATTTAAGTGCAATAATAATGTATAATATATTTTCAGTATTTAGCTCAGGTATTCATCATCTGCAATTAATTATTAATTGGATCAATCTCAGTCTATATTTCTTATTAATAACCAGTAGTTAGACTGTTCTCAAATAATACTGACAATTATGTAATAATTTAAAGATAAGGTTATAGCTAAAAATCAAGTTTAAGCTAAAATACATTAATAAGATTAATTTGTTTAACAGTGCATCTAAGCACACATCAAGAATTTGCACTCTCTATGAATATTTAAATGCCTTGGTTTGTTCAATACTGAATGATGGCATCATCTCATATAAAAAATGAGATTTATTACCCAACTGGACTGGGTGAAATTCAATATTTTCTAGAGTTTGGATTATGAAGTTTACATAGAAATTTAAAAGGAAGGTAGCAAATAAACAACCTTGCTTCACTCTTTTTTGAACAGGAATTGGCAACACAGAGGCAACCTGATTTGTAATGAAATTGTCATATAATTTAGAAGTTGACGGCTTCACCCAATAGCTATTCCTGGGAAATGAATTATATACTACTTTTAAATAGAAAAATACAGCCTAGATGTCTTCTTTAGGGCAATAAACATTTTTCCATGAAATACTATAGAATATTATATAGATGCTTAGCATAAATTTTGTTAATTGTATTTAAAAGATTTTTAAGCTGATAATTAGCAGTTAAGTCTTGATTGTCTTTGTAAATAGGCACTACAATAAGAAAATGCCACTCCTTTGGAATCAGTATGATGCAATCTATAAATTAAACAAATAAATTAATACAGGTATCTGCAATTCCAAACTACTACACATAACTTCAACAGTGATAAAATTAACACCGAATTTAAGCTATTTAATCAAGTCTAAAATTAACACCGAATTTAAGCTATTTAATCAAGTACGCAATTTCTGAGTATGTGACAGGAGCCCAGTAAAAAAGCAGTCTAACATTAAGCTCCAATTTGAACTAAAATTCTGTTTTTGTAAAATTCACTTGATCTATTCATATTGACTATATAGCTATTTTTGCTCTTTTAATTTTATGTTTTAAACTTTTAGACCAGGGCTTTTCAACCTTTTCACCCATTGTACCACTTTTAGGATATGGCAACATCCGAGTACCACCAGTCGCCTAGCAAGGTGTCAAAACTTGATGACCCCAAAAAAAAAAAAAAAGGAAAAAAGTGATAAAGTACAAGTAGTCCTCGACTTACAACAGTTCACTTAGTGACTGTTCGAAGTTACAATGACACTGAAAAAAGTGCCCTGCAAGGCACAGCCGAGCAAGACACCTGCCTGCCCACCCGGCGGCGCTCTTCCTCCTGTCCGAGGTTTCCATTGTTGTGAGCATTTCTGTTGAGGATTGGCAGCGGGGGTGGGGTGGAGGGGTGTTTGGTTTTTATTCCCCCCGTCTGCTGGGTGGTTGCAGCAGGTTTTGCTCACTTCACATGACCCTGGGACACTGTGACCGTCATAAATATGAATCAGTTGCCAAGCATCTGAATCACAAGACCCTGGAGATGCTGCAACATTCCAGCTGATTGGCACTTCTTCTGGGCTCAGCAGAAGCGCCAGGATCAGTGCCGAGCTCCAGCTGGAACCTGGTGCTGATCCTGGCACTTCCACTGAGCCCTGACAGTCCCGAAGAAGCGCTGATCTAGGCGCTTCCGCTGAGCCCTGACAGCCCTGCAGCTCCAGCCGTCTCTCGCTCAGGCTTGTGCGGTGCTGCCACCTCATTCCCCCCACTACCACTACCAGCTCATTCCCTCCCCCACTACCACTTTTCTGGGATGGTCGTGTACCACCTGCCAGGTGCCAATGTACCACAGGTGGTACCCATACCACTGGTTGAAAAGCCCTGTTTTAGACTGTTTTTAGTGAAATTTTGGTCAATGATCACAATTGCCTATAAGACTGTGCAGTTACTGATTATGGATCTCCCTGGCCTAAATCCCATACACTCTTTGAACAGAACCTTATTCTGAGTAGGCCAGCAAGCAGTTTCCAAGACAAGAATAGTTACTAGACAGAGAAGTTACTAAATAGATAGGAAGCTAAATGGACAGTTATTGAACAGGTCAGAATTAGCTTTTTTTTTTAAAAAAAAAAAATCAGAACCACAATTGCCTGGTTTAATTCTTCAAAAACATGGATTGTCCAGGAATACAATGTTGATAATAATTGTCATCATGTTTTTAGCATCTTATCTAGTTCATATCCTATCTGCAGAACACTTTAATTTAAAAAAAATTAGACAGGAATGAGAAATGCTAAAAGCATGATGACAAATATGTACCAATATTACATTCCTGGACAATTTTGCTCTGATTGCACTAAGTACTTTAAATCAATGTCTTTAAAGAATTAAACCAGTCAAATGTAATGCTAATGTTTTTGTTTTGTTTTTTTTAAAAAAAACCTAATTCTAGCCTGATCAATAATTGTCCATTTAGCTTTCTAAGAATTCCTAATTCTAAGAATTCTTAATTCTTAGACATGCATTCAAATAAAAGGTGAATATGTTATCTTTTGGGACACTCAGATTTTTATGGGACAAATTTTCAATGGGCACTGGGAAATTCTAACAATTTGCCAATAATACAATCAGCAACATTTCTTCTTTCATCTTACATTTATATATTTTACCATCAAAAGCATATTCAACCTGAAAACAGGGACAAAGTCTTTTTTTATTAAAAAATTCCATGCATGCTCAAGTCAATTTTCACAATTTATTTTGCAAATGGTGAAGTTGAGGATTTGCTTAATTATAATATAACTTAAACCTGTTTACCTTTAGTTGGTTGTTGAAAATATCTATCTCCTGAAGTTTTGATCTGGTTTCTCTTTCTACTTCATCTAGCTGGTTACGAAGTTGCTGGCATACTAACTCCTTTGCTTCTAAAGCTCTTTTGACAGTGAGAAATGAATCTCCTATTTAAAAAAATACTGACAGTGAATATTTTAAAAAAGACTCTCCAGTCATTCTTAAATGGAATGACCTTACAATATACATATTTCTCCAAGCAGAGAACCGTTTTAAAATGAACTTACGATGCAAGCTGTTTTGCTGAACTTGCTTTAACTGGTCATTGAGTAATTGTTTTTCTGGAATCAATCTTCCAAGCATTTGCTGAGATTCCTAAAAGAAATAACATGAGAAATGTTGTATCTATAACCACAAATATCATATCACAATTGCTTCATCATTCTACGAAAACCACTTTTCTGAGAAAACAGTTCCTTAAGCCTGCCAAAAAAAAAAAAGCCACTGTGTAGAATACTCCCAAATATTTCCCCTTATTTTGTGTTACAGCTATCACTTCCTTTCACAACACAAATAGAATAAAGCAAGAGGACAGAAGATGATGTCTAGGCTTTCTACACATTTGTTATTGCTATCACTTTGAAGTGGCAGAAAAATTCCATACAAAATCTTGAAAACAAATTTGTTACACTAATGAAGAATCTCATCTCAAAGATAACATTAGGATAATATCTCCTCCTCTAAAGAAACCTGTTAAGATTATACCCAACTTTTCACAAATAAAGATTTTGAAGACATTTTTCAAGCCTTATTCTTCCTTAGATTCATTTCACTGGAGTCTCTTATTACAACAAAACAATACTGTAATAGGGAACATTTGTCATTATCAATAAGCCAAATATGAATGCAATAGAACAGAGGTCTCCAATCTTTCTCAGTTGGCAGACCAGAGGGAAAGGGAAGGGGAAGCATTTAACGCATGCGCGCATACAAACGGGGCCACGAGCACATACAACACAAACAGGGTGGTGCTAGCACCTGTGATACTCGCTAGCACCGCCCCATTTTTGCCACATGGGTGCTAGAACCATCCCGTTTTCACCGCATGGCACCCCGTTTTTGCCCCGGCAACAGCGCTAGCACAAGTAGGGGTGAGTGCCCATGGCCCGGTAGTGGGCCATGGCCCACAGATTGGGGACCTCTGCAATAGAATAAAGAAACAACAGATACTTGGTAAAGATATTTCACAGAAATTCCAAATCAATTTTTGATGAAAGTGTAGTTTTATGGGGTTCAACCAGTATATAATCACTACCAACTAACTGAACTATCTGGCTTGAAAATTAGATGAAAAATGCCAATTCTAATAGTTAGTATTTTTGTTATGAAAAAATAAAAGTATTTCAGTTCTTCATACTTCAATCACTAACAATTATCTACAAAAGTTACTAAATATAGTCTTTGAAAGATACTTAGAGAAATGCCTGCAATGTAAAGCGGGCAGTAACAATAGAATACCCAAATTAAGAAATGACAGCATTTTAAAGTGAAAATTTGCCTGAAATCTCAGATGCTTTTTTGCTTCAGAAAACTAGAGGACCAACCTCAAGTATTTTGTGAGAATATTTAAGGTACACTTGCTCCTACGCAGCATAATTTAATAGCTAATCAAGTTAACTAAATTTCAATATCAGAATAGATTCTGTGGGATGTGGGAAGAAAACTACAGCGTCATATGCACTGGTTCCTGGAGAAAAAAAATGGGACATAAATATGATAAACTTCATTTCCTTAGATATTGCTCATTTTCACTGTTGCCACATGCTTATTGTCTAACACAGATATTAATTAAGCAACTAGTACATTCAACTCTCAGAAATTAAGTCCTATTCTTTCAATGCAGGAGTACATAAGATACAATTTTAAACATTTTCAAAAACTATATACCAGTGGTGGCGAACCTATGGCACGCGTGCCAGAGGGGGCACTCAGAGCCCTCTCTGTGGGCATGAGCACCTAGCACTTCGGCTATGTTTTCATAGGAAAAAAGCCATTTTTCAAGCCCCTTCTTAGACAAAACAAGCTTCTGGAGCGAGTGTGCCTTGCTTTTAACAGCAATCCTGTGAAAACAAGCCTCCAGAGCGAGCATGCTCGCTCCGGAGGCTTATTTTGGCTAGGAAGGGGCTTGAGAAATGTGTTGCTCTCAAACTCACAAAGCATGAGCCAAGATTAGACAAATTATCAGCATGCATACAACAGCAAAAATCACATTAATTGTTCAAAAGCATGCCAAATGCAAACTTTTACCTTTCAATCAAAAGTTGTTTGTATCATTGAAAGCTTTGTTGTTGTGTTTTTCTTTTAAGACCAAGAATGTTAATGTATGAGTTGTTTTTTTCTAAACTAAAACCTCAATATTCAGGTTAAATTGCCGTGTTGGCACTTTGTGGTAAATAAGTGGGTTTTGGGTTTCAGTTTGGGCACTAAAAGGTTTGCCATCACTTCTATATACTTACTTGTAACTGCTGTTGTAAATGTGTGATTTCTGCAATCCTCAACTCTCTAGATTTGTTTGTGCTCTCAATTTCTTGCCTTTGAGTAGCCAATCTGCATCTGATATCCTGAAGCTTCCCTTCCAGTTGATGTTTTTTATCATTCTTCAACAGGGAAAGAAAATATTGGTTTATTCAGATTTTAATTAGAACACAAAACTGGTTGCAAGTTCTTTTAGTTATACTTCAAAGTTGAAAAAGATTTCTTTTTCTGATCATAAACTCTGAATTTAGTCTAGAAAAAGAAAATATACTTCTTTTAGGTGGAGATTTAATAAAATGCAATTACACCAAGAAATAAATAGTGAAGAATTGTAAAAGGAAATTAACAGTATTTTTTTAAAACAAGCTAAATAAAGATACTGATTTAAGAATGGCCTTGGATGCAAGTAAAACTTTTATTAGAGGATATTTCATAGAAAATAATACTGAACTTAAAAAGAATCAAGAGAAACCCAGATTATTTTAGATGAGATATAAAGAATTAAAGAAACCTGCAAGAAAGATAAATATCTCTCATCAAATTAAACTCTTACAGCAAGAGTTATAGATACTGAAGGTAAGAGAAATGTAAATAAAAGGGAACTTATGCAACGCAAAAAATGTTCAATTTGCAAATAAACCAGGAAAATGTCTAGCATACAAATTAAGAAAAAATGATATTGAAACTTCAAGAGAGAGAGAGGGAGAGAGAGGGGGAGAGAGGGAGATGCTGTATTAATGGATAATACAGCAATATAAACAGCATTCCATTAGTACTATTCCAATTTATATAAAGGGCATGATATTCCTTTGGAGAAAATGGATGGATGTTAAAAAAAAATCCACCAAAATCTATCAAAGATTATTAAAAAAAGAAAGATAGATTATGAATGGATCTACAACCTCTTATAGTTGCAGATCCATTCATAATCTTTTCTTTACTTTTCTTCTCTCTTTCTTTCTTTCTTCTCTAAGTTTCTGAAGCTTTAAATTAAATCAAGAAAAGTACCTGTACCAGATGGATTATTGGACTCTTACTATAAATATTTTTAGGATGAAGTTCTACAACCTTTGCAAAATACAGTGAATCTGATTTTACAGAGGGGAAAGATGCTAGAAACTTGAAAAGCTGCAAATATTGCATTTATACCTAGAGGGATAAGATTTGGTTTCAACAAGAAATTATTGATGAATATTATTATTGAATAATGACAACAAATTTTTCACAACAGTACTGACAGATTGAAATTAATTTTACAAGAATTTATTCATGAAGATCAATGTGGATTTTTACCTAAAAGACAGTAAAAAGAATGTTAAAATTGTACTGGATATTTTAGAATATGATATTTTAGAATAATGAAAAACAAGCTGCATTATTATTTTTTTAGGTGGAGAAAAAACTTTTGGTAATTTGAATTGGACTTTTCTGTTTCTAGTTTTGGAAGTTGTAAACTTTGGAGAGAATTTTATAAATAAATAAAAATGATTTATATTTCATAAAAAGCACAAATAATGAATGGAAATTTAGCTAAATCATGTGAAATACAAAAAGGAAGAAGACAAGGTTTTAAATTAAGAAACAGAAGACAAAGATGTTCAAAAAAACCCCAAAACAAGATCAAATATAACTAATCAATAAAATGGATTACCAGATTAAGAAAGTAAAATATTTGGGTATCAATATGATAAATTTGAACTGTTTGCTATTTCAAGATAATTATGTTACCACTAGGAATGAAGCTTAAAAGGATATGTTAAGATGAAAAAAAATGCAATTGATTCATTGGGGAGAATTTTTATGACCTAGATTAATGTTTTGCCTAAATGCTATTTTGGTTCCAGATAATACCTATTTTGACTGATATAGCACAAAATAGTAGAAAGAGATAACTAAATTTGTGCAGCAGCAGAAAAATGCACAAGTTAAATACAAGCTGTTACAAGATGTAAAAGAAGGGAGGAGGATTGGGTTTACCTGATTTGAAATTATATTTTGTAGCTTATTGTTTAGTCTGGCTGAAAGAATGGATGCTACTGAAAAACAGAAGGCTTTTGGAATTAGAAGGACACGACTTGAAATTTGTGTTGCATGGATATTTATGATACAACAAAACTAACATTAATGTAGATGATAGATATTGTTTTGTTAGACATGTCATATTGAGAATATGGAATAGATATAAACCTAAGTTGTGCCCAAAAATACCTTCAGGGCACTCAGCACAAGAAGCAGTTTATAGAAGAGAAATGATAGTAAACGCAAATAGTTAACTTGCTCTGATATACTAGAATTTTGCCAAGGAGAATGCAAAATATATTACTAAAACTTTCGTGTTCCTTTATCTTTAGCCTTCAGTTGGTGAAATGGTGCATCATGGGGCAACAGTTTTAAACCAAGGTACTTCAAATGGTACCAGTAGATGAGAATATTTGTAGCTCAAGGTTGAACTGTGGGGTCCTTCGTACACTGGTGTACACTGGTATACTGATGATGTTAGCTAGTTTGCTAATGAAAAGTCTGCAAAAAAACCACAAAGTTCAGAGAGTATCAAGGATCCCATTCTTCAAGTCAGCTAATTTATATAATGTGTCCATAATTTGGGACGATGACTCCCATGGGATTGAAATTTCACATATTTGTGGCTACTTCAGTGCTGTTGCATTGCTGTGTCAATGCTGCCACCTGGAGGTTCTGTAGACTGGTCCCTCTTTCAGCTAATGGAGATAAGACAGGCCAATCCCACCCTAACCTTCCTTAGGCTGAGTAGACAGATCCCACCATCAGCTGCTGGAGGGTAGTCAGCTGCGATCAAAGAAGTCAGAAGTCACTCCTGCTTTTTTGCCTGTGGTCATTTCTGTTTTTCTGTTTAGAAAGGAGATATTAAGGAAATATCTCTGAAATGATGACTCAGTGGGTCATGGGTTGTCTAGTGTAAAATAAAATCAAGAGAAGAATTGGGAGGATACATGTATCAACCATCTTCCTATATACAATTGCTGGGAAGATGTAAAGTAAATAAGATAAGTTTTGTTTCTGAACACTGCAAGACTGAATTTGAAACAGAATTATGTACAATGAACATGTTATTGCTAAAATGTATAAACCTTTACAGAATAAGTGAATGGATATATGATAAAATGGGCTAAAAATTTTGATTCAGCACTGTATACAAATGGAACAATGGGGGAAAATGTAGTTGAAAGGAGTGAAATTTACATTATGTTATAATCTTAAAAAGAATTTTCATAAAGTGATGCGTTGTTGGCATATGTCACCAGAAAAATTGTTGAGAATTATAAAGATACTTCAAATTTATGCCAGAAAGCCAAACGAGAAAAGACATTTTGTCATGCTTGATGGGTTATATCAAATCCTAGAAAATTCTGGACTCAATTATATATATTAATACAGTACAGGAGATTTTAAAGGCCAATATGCAATTGAAACCAGATACCTTTGTTTTGGGATTGATGGATAAAAAGTTGACAGCAAGATTATTACATGCATAAAGGTGGAAAAATTCAGCTTTACCTACAATGGAGGAATAGATGGTGAACAAGATGGAACTTGCTGAGATGGCCAAATTGGCAGTTTTGGTTATAGAAAATATATTGTCTAAGTTTAATGCTGACTGGCAAACCCCTTGAACTTTTTCATAAAACAAAAAAAATGAAATTATGTTTTGATGATTAGAAAAAATAATTATAGAAAAAAAATCTATAATTTTGAAAATATCTGGCAAATGTTTCTCACTTACTAAAGCTTCCAGTTCAAACTCCAAAGTTTTTTTCTTAGCTTTCAAAACAACTATATCTTCTTGTTCTTTGTTTCTTTGATTCAGCAATTCTTGACGACGATTACGTTCCCACTCAAGCTGTCTTTGCCTTTCCAGTTCTCTTTTAGCAGCCTTCATTAGTTTAAAAATATGAAAAAAAAATTATTGACTTTTGTAGCTCTATTAAATAAAAGTTTCAACCTATATAATACTGTATGTATTAGTATTGTATTCATACAAACAATGCAGATATATGTCTCCCTGTCATCTTCCTAACATGAAACTATATATTACGTAAGTCTTGGATTCCCTTCCTAGTATTTCCTTGGATCTTCACTCTAATTAAAGTATATTTTAATTAGACACTTGTGTGGTTATACAAATTAACTCTCTCCAAGAATGCACAATTTATGAATGTAAGAAAAGTAGCCAGGTTAGAAAGTTCCTATCCATCCAAATATTAGTATGTTAGTTCAAGTGGTATTCTACAGAATGAAAGATTATGATAGAAATGAGCTTACAAAGCAGAAGAAGAATGAAAAACAAAGGCATTTTACCTATTAAAGTGAACAGAGATTCTGAAGATAGCTAATAACTAAATTAGTATACTAATTTAAAAAAATCAGGCAATTTGATTATCAGGCAAAAGCTGCTTGAAAGGCATAGATGAACATTGATATAAATTTGATTAAAACTTATTTTAACCCAATTTTATTTGATAAATTAGTTGCTAAATACTATCCCCTAGAAGCAAGAAACATAATGAACATGTGAGGTAAACAATGCTTTCTTAGATATTCACTGTCCTTAAATTCCAAGCTGGCAAGGACTTTTTAAAGTTTTAGCACCAGAACATTCATTTATGCTTAAAAGACAAGCAATAGGCAGCAACATAAAGCCAAAGTTTACATAGTCATGATTTAGAGCCAAGTTAAGGAACCAATACTTAAATGTACCTTTCCTGACAAAATGTTGAAAAAATATTAAATTATTCCTTCCTGCCCCATTTTGCCAAATATCTCATTTACACAATTTTGAAAACAGAAAAAAAAGAAATACAAGATATAGTATTTCCCAATATAATTTTTCAACATAATTTTGACACATGAGTATTCCTCTGAAAATATTTATTTACCTCACGCCTTTCTATTTCTTTCCTCCTTTCCTCTTCCCTCTGGCGTTCCAATTCTCTCTGTTTTTCTAAGTGTTTTTCTAATTCCATTTGCCTTTTCCGCTCCTGCTCCTGCCGTTCACGTTCCTTCCTTTCCTGCTCTGCCCTTTCCAACTGTGCAAGGCGTTCTTGCTCTTTTCTTTGTTGTTCCAAAAGAGCTTGTCTCCGCTTTTCAAGCTCTAGATTGCCACGTTCAAAGTTCTCACGTTTTTTATCTTCAAATGTAACTTTAAAAAAATGTTACAATTAAAATTCAGATGTGATTTATGCATATATGAACATGAAGTTATATAGTCTATCTGGAATGTACTTTAAAATTGTAAAACCCTATACAAATGCCTGATCTTTATTATTCTTGTAGTTTGATTGA